CCAGGAGCATTGTGTAGTACCAGAAAGTAAGAAAGGGCTTGAAAAATAAAAAGATGGGGAACACATTAAGAGGACCTAGGAGCCACCCTGAAAGAGAAAGAGCTCCTGAAAAATTTGAGCAAAAAATAAATAATGTCATATTGGATTATAACCCAAAGTATAAAATGAATATACATGAATCCATACTGGAAGGGAGGAAGGAAGGAAGGGAGGAAGGAAGGAAGGAAGGAAGGAAGGAAGGAAGGAAGGAAGGAAGGAAGGAAGAGAGGGGGAGGGAGAGGGAGGGAGGGAGGAAGGGAATCTTTCTTGCAGAAGAATTCCAAATAATATATGGAGATGCTCCAGTCTTTAGGAGGTGAAATAATTCTCTAGACTTAGTCATTCATTTTCAAACTACAGAACAGAAAAAGGAGAAATAGTGACGCTGCCATGCAGAAATCTGGCAAACAGCACCTTAACCAAGTCATGAAGGTTAACATCATCAGTGATGTCATGTGGGTGGTATGCAGTCCTTAATTACGGTGTAATGAGAAGAGCACTTCACTTCCGGGCATTCTTTCCAAAAACGTTTAACCCCATTCTAGTAATGACATCAGACAAGCCCAGATTAGGGGCTATGCTACAGGATACCTTGCCAGTATTTCTCAAGACCGTCAAGGTCATAAAATCAAGGAAAGATTGTGAAACTGTCGAAGACCAGAAGAGGCTGGGATGACATGATAACTAAATGCAATGTGGCTCCCTGGCATGGCTCCTGGAACATACAGAGGACAATAATGACAAAACTGATGAAATCCAAGTAAAGTCTGGAGTTGATGTAGCAGTAGTGTACCACTGTCAGTTTCTTAGCTTTGACAAATACACAGTGGTCATGTGAGATGTTAATGTGGGGAGACTGGGTGAGGTCTATACAGGAACTTTCTGTACTATCTTTGCAACTTTCTTGTAGATCTAAAATCATTCTACAATAAAAGTTTTATTATTATAAAAACAAACAAAAATCAATGAACTACACTTTACCCCCACAAAAACAGCTAAAACTAAAAACCATGAAATACCAGATATTGGCAAAGGTGTTGGAGCCACTAGAACTTCCATACTCTGTGTGTAGAAGCACAAACCACTGGCACGCCCACTTTGGAAAACACTTCAGCTGTATCTACAAAACCCAAATGTGTGTACAACTTAGGACCCAGCAATTTCCCTCCTAGATAGATACCCAAAAGAAATACACGCACATGTTAGTCAAAAGACCTGTATATAAATGTTTATAGCAGCATTCTTTGTAATAGCCAGACACTGAGAACACCATCAATATCCTCCAACTATAGAATGGGGTGTTCATCGCTTCCAAAGCACCATTTGAACTCAGACGATGGACAGCTGTCTAGGCATCTTATTTTGGTAGAGGCCTCTTACATCTCTTTTTGAGTGTACTCAGTACCGCTGCATAGGTCATAGAATAGTAGCCAAATTATTGCTACTCTAAACAACATCAATGGGTTTTACAAACATAATACCAAACAAAAGAAATCAAGCCAAAAACAAAAAAACATTTTGCTTGATTGATATAATAGGTAAAAGTAATTGATGCTTATAGAAGTCAGAGTAGCAGTCACAGTTGAGGTGAGAGTGTGTAATGATTGGGTTAAGGCATAAGGAAAGATTTGAGGGGGCTGGTAAAGTTCTATTTACTGACCTGGTTGCTGGTTACAAGGAGTGTTCACTTTGTAAAAATGCATCCCCGTGTATTCTAAGATCTGTGCACTTTTCTCTAAGTATGTTACACTTCAATAAAAACTTTTTCTTAATGCTAAAAAAAAAATGATACATAATACTTCAAACCTGTTTAATTTTAACTTAAAGCATATAAATGCACATTCATTCACCACTCTTTTGATGTGGAGCCAAGGCTTTTCTTTGAGAACGGGTCTGCTAACTGGAGCTTCTTGTCATCTTTCTTACACAAACCACACCCATAACGCATCATCTACAATTTCCAGCTTCAGTTTCTTTGAAGTAGAGAGAGACCGTAAAGACCCATGTAAAGCAATCTGAGTGCAGAATCTTGCTAGAATTTTATGATTTTTCCCAATCCTTTTATTGTCTCAACTACACCCAATATCATAGCATTTTATTTTAGCACTTCTAAGTCTTTTCAAAGATTTCAACTCAGCATTCATAGAGACATTTCTCCCTTTTCATCACACTTATTTAGTTTTTGGTTAATATTTCATCAACTAATTAACAACGAAGACTGGCATAAATAAATTTGGAACCAAACATAAATAATCCTTGCTAGACATACAGTTCTACCGATGGGAGCAGGCAAACGTGGGTGTCCTGGAGAGTAGCCCACATTTGCAGGCCCTTCCCATGATGTGGGCATGCATTCATCAAGGTGTTTTGCGGAGGAAATAAAGAGCTTCAGTTAATTCCCAGTGTTTGTCAAGTGGCCAGGCCACTCAGATTGTTAAGTATGCTTCTAAATTCCCAGCTCCTACTGCTGTTATTTTTGGATCATCTTTCACCTGGGCCACGATGGAGACGCTTTAATAATTTCCCACACAGGTACTTTTTATTCCCCTTGAAATACAAAGCATGCACCTGTTTTGTGCTTAAAACTCGTCAGATGCAGAGTGCCTGGTGTATAGCATACAGTGGGTGCTCAATAAATATATGTTGAACGAGCAAATGACGAAACAAATAGATCCATGAGTTTTCAATTCCTCCATGGCCAAGTTCCAGCTCTTTGGTCTGTCCTACAAGGCGCTTCCTGATCAGATCCTTTTCTCCTTCCCAGCCTCCTCATCTTACATCTCCCCAGTGCATCCTGCGCGGCAGCCCCACCGAGCATCTCATGATCGCCGGCCATATGCCATCACACACACTGGCCCTCTGCGTGAAGTGCTCTGTTTTCATGGTGGAGTTTGTCAGCTGCTCTGACCTGCTTTACAAATCCTGTTATCATTCCTGGTCATACACTTGTCTCTTCCATAGACAGTGCAACTGGGAGATCTGAGGTCTGGGATTCAGCGCCATTATTTGGCTCCATAGTCCCACTGTCTAGCTCAGCCTTGGCATAGAATTGGTGCTCAACACAGGCAGGAAGGCAGGAGTGGGCTGGCCTGAGTTCAAACCCTGACTCTGCCAATTGATAGCTGTGGAGCCCGGGGCAATTCCTTCTCCAACACTCTATTTCCTGTCAAACAGGAGCAATGATACCTACCTTTCAATGTTTCTTTGAAGATTGAATAAGATCTCCTGAAAAGCACTCAATAAACACAACCTAAAAATACAGTGGAGAGCCTATGGTCAAGGTCTAAACAGCTGTCCACCTGTGTCCATCCAGATCACATGAAAGGCCGGATGTGATGAGGTCCTTAGTATCTGCATGAGGTAGACACTCGAAAAATATTTGTTGAATGAATGAATGGTGCCCTTCCCTCTTTCATTCCCTTCCTTTGTTCTGTTCTCATTGCCCATACCACCATTGTCTACATCCAGGCCCCAGCTCTGTGGGTTATTTGAAATTAAAATCCCAAAGTTATTTTTCATAAGCAAGAGCAATCACTCTTGGGTCTGCTGGCACAGTATCCTGACAGGGGGCTGGCAACAGCCAGTTCACAGTGAGCCCTGCCAGGGGGCTGTGCACATGCTTCTAAGAATAACTCAGTGTCCAAGAATTCCGCCTGTTCTATCGCAAGCCGGGGCCGGCGGGCAGCTGGTTTGCATTAGCGTGGAGAGCGATGGTATTCCGCTTTACTCGAGCAAGGCCGAGGCACCTCCTTCCCTTTCTCCGCTCCTGCTCTGGGCTGCCATTGAGCAAGCAGAGTCCTCATTTAACAGTCTTGAAAGAACCAGGAAGGGGCCTGGTTAGAGGTAAACTGCAGAGTGGATGAAGTCTGCGTTCTGGGCCCTTTCATCTCACTTCTGGGTCATCCATCACGCTTTCATTTGGGTATCATTCAGAGTCCCCCCCACCGCACCCCCCGATCTCAGTCTTCCAAGGCCACAGGAGCATCCCATCCATACTTGCCCTCACAAAAGCAGCCAATGCCTGGATTCATTCCTAACATTCTCTCTTTTCTTCATTCATTCATTCATTCATTCATTCATTCGTTTCACTTCTACACAGGATTACTGAATACTAAAGCTACAGGGGACCTAGGTAATCACATAAGAAGGCAGCATAGTCTATAATGGTTCTTAGAGTAGAAGGAACAGTACACTTTCGTAAGGACACTCGGAAATGTCTGAGAGCACTTAATTTTGGGTGTCGCAAAAAGAAAGGACACTAATGGCATTTGGTGGGCAAAAACTAAGGACACAAAATACACTGCAATGCATGGAACATTCCTGTATGATGAAGGATTATCCAGCCAAAAAACGTCCACAGTGTCCCTCTTGAGAAACGCTGCTGGAGTCGAGTGTGCCATCCTACACTCATCCTTTCCTCTACTGCTGCATCGCATATTGGTTATGAGCACAGGCTCATACCTACATTCTGGCCTCTACATAGCTTGTCTTCAAACATTTGAAATAGATTTGCTTAATGATAGAGGAAAAAGAAGACTGTGAGCCATGGAGTCAAAAGGACCCAGACAAATGTTGTTTGTACCACTCCAGCCGTGGAAACTTGAGCAGAGCTAATGATTCTCAGACCCCAGGGCCCTCATCTACATAATGGTGCTCACAATATCTATGTTAAAAGGTGACTGTGAGCATGGCTGCCATGTTGCACAATTCCTGGAATTGAGTAACACGGCCCAGTGGTGAGAATTAAACAAGAGAATTTACACGGAGTACTGGATGCATAGTAGGCATTGATGTTGCATGTAACGTGCCTTGTACTATGCCTTAGAGGCTCTACAAATGTCAATCACATTCTCTCCCTCCTCCTCCCATAGATGCCATGTGACTCACTGAATGTCTCTATGATTTATTGAATAAGGGCTTATGAAACAGACATAGTCCCTACTCCCACAGAATTTAAAAATTAGAGGTTCTGATAAGACCTATATGTGTTTGCACATATGAAAGGGAGACAGGTGTACAAATATATCAAACCATAAAGATTTGCAGTCTACCTCTTCGGCACCCTACCTCCCACTCTCCCAAAAGGAATGATTGTTTGATCATTGTGTCTGTTTCCAGGTCTTTGACAGAGAGAGTAGACAGAAGGATGGCAAAAGCCAAATCACTCTAGACAGGATCAGGCAAAAATGAAGAGGAAGGAGGCATCGCAGAAAGTGAGAATGAGGCAGGGGAGAAAATGCAAAGTAGCTTCCTGGAGGAGTGGGACCTTAGGACGAGAGATTCCTCTACTGGTTGTTGGGGATCATCAAGTTGCTGGGTGCTTCACTCTGTAGAAACTGTAATCAGCGTTACTCCATGATGAGCCCCTGAGAATGGCTGTGATTGTCTAGGACTCCCAAAAGATTCCTCCGAAAGATTTCTACAAAGTCATTGTATAGTTACTGGATCCGGCTTCTCGCTTCCCTCCACCCATGCTTTCAGCTTGATGCCACATCAACTCAGATATAAAACCCAGCTCTCCTTCAATTCCCTCCAAAACATGCTTGCTCCAAGTTCTTGTGCGAGTGGCAGACTTCCCTCAGGCTGTGGAGGAAGCAGAGAAAAGGGATGATATCAAAGCAGCACAAACAATGCCGGAGGAGCATCAGACATTCCTTTAAAGGTCCTTGCCACTCACCGAAGGTAAGGCGCTCTTTACTGCTCAGAGGCCCTACCTCGACCCATCTCACTGGTTCCTCCCTCTTTTCCCCATTCCTTCCCCTCACCTCTCTCTCTTTTCTGTCCCTCCCTCTCAGAAACAGAAAACAAATGCCCCTCTTTTTCTCAGGCAGAGCACCTGAGCCATCTGTGTGTGTGCCTGCAAGCCCACCAAAACTCATGCCCTTTGGGCTTGCCTACCCCTAAATGGACATATTAAAGCATTTTTCGTCAAAGCTGTTTCTTCTCTAAAAAAAAATGAAGTTAGGTCATAGATATTTCACCTCATTTTTCCTATCTACAATTTAAATAACAAACCAAAATTGTCAAGAGAAACAAAGCAGTATGGAAATCCAGAAGGCTGGTCCAGGAGGAGTTCCTGGACTAGGTCGACTTAAAGGATAGATAGGATTTGGAGCGAACTAGAGAGGGAATCCAATGGTATCACAACATCAATAAAAATGTGGAGGCTGAATTGGCACAGAATATACAAAGGAGATGAAGACCTTATTGAAGCTGAAGTCAACAATACATTGGCTTATAGTGAGGGATAAAAATATGGACATTAACGTGGAATCATAACTAGAGGACTCTGAATGTGTCAGGTTAAGAATTTGACCAAAACCTGATCTCTCCTTTGGGATAGGCTAATCCATTTGTTAGAACTTTTGTTGTTGATGAGAAAACCGTATCAATGATCCTTTTAGATACGCAAAAGCAAAGCAAGAACATCTGAGAGAAAGATGGGAATTCAGTAGGTTAAATATATCTAATTTAGATAAATGAGTTGAATAGCCTACTTGGTTATGCCCAGAGCTTATCAGAGCTATGTCTCTGCAAACATTATTGCTTTTTAAAAGTAGAACAGTTTCTTTTCTATATGGATTTGTTTACCCTAAAAGTGAACCCTTTTTATTCTTTTGGAGATGGGTGTTTTTCTTTGAACAGTTGTTTGCAGAAGGACAGAGTTCAAATGGACAAGTGCTTGGAAGAAACTGGCAAGTGTGCCTTTCTGTCCCCCTCACAGAGGACAAGTGACAAGGAAAAGAAATTGGATTGCATTTGGTGCAGTTCAACCTAGACCTCCCATGAGGTTCATCAGAACAGCTTTGTTATTCCTATAGACTGACTTCAGAGTGTTTATTTACAAAATAAATTCATCCTAAGAGAGTACTGCTGTATTCACCTTTTTTTTTTTTTAGCTGAGCCATCCTGCTACCTGTTGGCAGCTCAGCTGCAACTCAGCTTGGGCCGGGAATTGAACCGGCGACCCTGTTGCTCAGAGCTCACACTCTTGAGCGAGCTCTTAACCAACTAAGCCACTTGGCTGGCCCTCACTTATTTTAATATTTGAAGTCTCCTCATAAAGTTGCTTTATTAATCTTTGTATAAAAGGATTCCTAGTATTCACAATTATTGGGTTGTCGGAAAAGTCATGACACATTTTTTGCAATGAAAAACAGAAAAAATATGTCATGACTTTTCCGACAACCCAATATGATTTTTCCTTACCCAGCATCTATTTCCTCTGATTTTGGAAATAGCATTCCAGTTTTCCATCAGAAGTTCTCTCTCTCTCTCTCTCTCCCTCCCTCTCTCTCTCTCTCTCTCTCTCTCTCTCTCTCACACACACACACACACACACACACACACA